AGGTAAGTAATAACTTGAACATAGTTTTGTAGGTTTATTTAGATGAATTAGGTATAAAAATTTAGTTTGATGTGGGGTTTTTGGGGTAGTCAGGAACGGATTAATTCATTTCCCTTTATTTCTTATGGGGAAATTAGCTTCGGAATGCGAGTTTTCGGAATACGAGGCGTCTCCAGGAACCAATTAAACTCTTAAACTGAGGTATGCCTGTACTGTAATGATGTCTAACGACATAACGTTTAGGGAGCATAACCAAGCAAATATTGCATCAGCCAGAACAATGATAGGATGGATTACAGGAATGTTCAAATCCAGGGATCCCATCACAATGGTTGTACTCTTCAAATCACTTGTACTGTCCTGTTTGGAGTACTGCTCAGTCCTCACTTCCCCCTTCAGAGCAGGAGAGACAACTGAAACAGAGGGAGTGCAGAGAACATTTACGGCATACATAGATGCGATAAAGCACCTACATTATTGGGATCGTCTCAAAGCTCTCCAAATGTACTCGCTAGAAAGGAGACGTGAGTGATATCAAATAAAGTACACATGGAAAATACTGGCGGGCCAGGTCCCAAATCTACACACAGTACAATAACAACATACTGGAGTGAACGATATGGAAGAAAATGCAGAACAGAGCCAGTATAAAGCAGGGTGTGCCATAGGCACAATCAGAGAATACTGTATAAATATCAGAGGTCCACGGTTGTTCAACATCCTCCCAGCGAGTATAAGAAATATTGCCGGAACAACCGTGGACATCTTCAAGAGAAAACTAGATAATTTTCTTCAAGAAGTGCTAGACCAACCGGGCTGTGGTGGATATGTGGGCCTGCGGGCTGCTCCAAGCAACAGCCTGTTGGACCAAGCTCTCACAAGTCAAGCCTGGCCTTGGGCCGGGCTTGGGAAGTAGAAGAACTCAGAACCGTATCAAGCAGGTATCCGTGAAGATGCTAGCCGGCACATACAGGTTTGGTCTGGAAAGACAACAGAGCATCCAACACTGTCAGCAGAATTGGACCTACCCTTGAGGAGGGCAAAAAATTTGAGTGCAAAGAAAAATGTTCAAAGACTTGCAAAACTTCACAAGTGGGACCCGCCGGGGAGGTTAGGATGGAATGACACAAGGAGAGACATTGTCAACACAAAATGAAAGGAAGGTGATGAGAGGAACAGGGCCCATGAAGGGGCAACAGCCAAAGCATGGCAAAAATGACATTGAGGATGTTACAAACCTCACGAGGTAACAAAGCCAATAATGATCTTGAACCTGGAGCAACAAGACGTCCATTTCAACATACTGTACAAGCTCTGGATAGGAGACAGATGAAAGGAACTAGAGCTGAGGTGCAACCCAGCATGGTGCAAAGTATCAAGACAGTGAAGGACCGAAGGAGAGGCAGAGGAGTAGGCAGGGCAGCCATAATCCAGTTTAGATAGTACAAGAGAAAAGTGCAAATAAAGGAGCATACATCTGTCAGCTTCCCAGGAAGTATGGGATAAGACTTTAAGTAAGATAAGGGCTTTAGAGCATTCAATTCAGAGGTAAGATATATGGGGAGACCAAGACAAATGAGTGTCAAATATTAACCCAAAAAGTTTAGCAGAATCTTTATACAGAAGACTACCATAGTGACAAAGGAGGACGAAAAATTACCTGCTTCCGAGTAAAAGTCATAGCACAGGTCTTAGTCGAAGAGAATTTGAAACCATGACTGGTGGGCCAGGACGACATTGCATTAATCGCAAGTTGAAGCTAACGTTGGAAGAAAGGGGAATCATCACCTTGACAACACAGGGTGAGATCGTTAACATAAAGGGTCAAGAAAATGCCAGAAGGTAGACAGGCAGACCATTGAGGGCAACCAGGAAAAGAAAAAGAGTAGTGCTCAAAACACAACCTTGGGGAACACCTTCGTATTGTTGAAAAGTCAAGAGAAAGTGCTACTATGTCTCACTTTAAATGAATGGCTAGAGAGGAAGCATTTAAGAAAGAGGGGGAAATTGTCATGAGGGCCAAAAGAATGGAGTTGAGATAGAATATGAAATTTCCAGGTAGTGCCATGAGCCTTTTCCAGATAAAAAAAGGATGGTAACAATGGAGGTCTTTGCAGAAAAGACAGAAAGAATATAGACCTTCAAGGTCACTAATACATCAGTTACAGTAGTTACAAAAACTATTATCTAAACAGGAGGATGGGTTGGGTGAATAGATTCCAGTTAGCCTTATCAAACTGCCAGTTAGAAAAGGAAAGAGGAGTGTGGAAAGAAAAGGATACGAGGATGGGAAAATGGTCACTGTTAGCTCAAGAACACTCCAGGTGAGCTCTTAATAGAAGAACAGAGAGAAAGATTAAGACAAGAAAGGGTGCGAGTGCATGTGTCAATATGGGCTGGCTCACCAGAATTCAAAAGAGACAAAGAAGAAGAGAAGATGAAAGGTTCAAGTAGGCTGCCATGGGTATTTGTCAGATCATCATCCCAGAGGGCATACCAACAGTTAAAATCACTCAAAAGGAGCACAGGCTCCAGTAAAGAGTCCAACACATATTTTATGTCTGAAAGATAATGTAGAACATTTGGGTGAAATAAATGGAACAGACTGTGTACCATTTATTCAAAAAGATATGGGCAGCAGAATCCTCTCCATTCTGACGCCAAGAAGATTCTTGGCGTCAGAATGGAGAGGAGCAGAAGACAGGAAGGTACAGTATTGGGGTCTAAAGCCTGGAAACGGTTGTGGAATTGAAAAAGGGGTGAAGGGTGGGGAGAAGTGTGATGTAACACATGAGCATAAGTATGTCAGAGAAAGAGTTAAGGCATTGAACCTGGCTTCTTGCCTTAGGGAAAGAAATACGATCACTATGTTTTGAGAATGGCTTCCTCAAATTTGTAGTGTATTCATAGGTGGGAGAAGGCAGGTTGGGCATTGTCACAATTGATGCAGTGAGGCTGGGGAGAAGAGCACTGTCTTAGCAAGACATGGGACCCCCCCACAAGGGGACACAGGGACACCTCACTAGTGCACCACAAGAGACCATGTCCAAATTTCCAACATCTATTGCAGAGGCGAGGAGAGGATGTATTCCTGAATGAAGCATCTGGCACCAGCAAGAATAATGGAAGACGGAAGGGACCTACCATCAAAGGTGATTTTGATTACCCAAAGAGGATGACAACCACCACCACGATTGGGGGGGGGGGGTCGAGTGAACATATAAATCTAGAGGATAGAATGGCCTTGAGAATATATTTAATATCCTCGTGGCAGTCTTTTTAGCTCTCTATCTCCAGAAGCAACATGGTGCAGGAAAATGGCTGCCAATGCTGGCATTTATCTGGCCATTTTTGGAGACCTGATCTGGGGTTTCACCAGTGAAGGACAACTATGCTAGGCAGTCTGCTGCTGCCTGAGAAAGGGCTGCAACTACACGTGTGCCAGTGCAAATGAAGTTAAAAAGTGACATAAGTATCAACTGAATCAACCAGGTATTTATGGATGTGTAAATCATCAGGATATGCACGATCAATGTGAGAAAGATAAAAATGCTTAGTCCATTTGGCAGGACCAAACAAATCCTGGAATGTAGGGAGGAATCGTGTGTGTTCGAGTGCAGGAGTTACATCATCAGGCTTCCCTAGAATGAGGAGGGGGTTAAAAGGTGCCGTTGTCATAACAAGTGATGGAGTCATTCTAGGTGATAAGGTGGTCACCACTGCGAGCTTGGGGGTTCAACCCTGCCATGGAAGTGGGAGGGAAGCATTGAGGGTCAGTTGGGAGAGTTAACAAAGAAGCCTGGTCTGGGCCCAATGTAGCCAGGACTATGGAGCCCAATCTTCCATCACTGGCCAAATTGAGGACCTGGTCACCCACCCCCATGAACCTGTGTAAGAGATGTCACTTCAGTATCCATACAGCACTAATTTAAAAAATTTGGGTCTTGGAGCCAAGAGATAACAACTACCAGGGCAGCGAGGGAGTGCACTGGCCAATGCAGGAAGTGGTGTGTCATCCCAAGCGGTGCTCCCCCTTTTTGAGAGGGAAAGCTAAAGTAACCTAAATGCAGTATATATATCATACTTTATCGTACATTCTCCCACATTGATGCAAAGACCTCACAATCGACTTGAGAATGGTCCAGGACGGACCGAAACGTCGTCTTCCCTTCACCTTCTAGTGTGTGGTTTGGTCAACATACTTTCACCACGTTATTGTGACTCATCGCCTGCAAAGACCTCTTTCTCCTTTTTGCCCCAGCCTGGACACCTAACCATCCACCAAGGGCTACCCCTCCAGCGAGAGGTCTATTGACACGAACAAGATCCATAAGGGTGTGTGTACCTCAGCATGCACATCACTCAAAGATGGACAGGAGAAGGGGCCATGGCAACCCTCACTAGCCCCAGGGAGTTGTACGTTAACTTTCTCACCATGACAAGGTGACACTCAGGATTGGGGGGGGGGTGCAAAGTCTGCAGTTTTGCTTTGTATCCGGTGCTTTGTTTGACATCTGATGTTCAAGTACAGTGCTGTATATTTGCTCTTCAAAGTTTAGTGGGAGGTGGCTTCCACAATTTCTTTCAGTTGTTGCTCCTGTCACTGTCATTCTCAATTTGCTGCTTTGGTATACAATATTAATTTCCAGCTGTCTTTCGTGCCACCCTATTGATCTCTATGCCCAGTTGTTTGTACTCTTTCTAAGTCTTTCTGGTTCTGCCTTTCTGGTCCCTGTACTATCTATTCCATAGCATCTGATCGTTCCCAGGCTTCGAGTTCCATCATTGCATCTTACACCTTCCCCTGCAAGTCATTCTCCCATTGAATATATTTTTAGAGGACCTGTACCTTCCTGTAGTCTACATGACTAGTGTCAATTTGTGCCAATCTGTCAATGTTCTACAAGATGATGATGTGTGATGGGTCACATGAGCTTACCTGTCAATGATGCATGCACAAAAACCTTCCTGTTAATGCATGATGGGGCTCAAAGACCTACCTGTCAATGTTTTGTTTGATATGGACATAACTGATGGTGCCAAGCGTTGCACAGCATGCCACTGCCAAAGTCAACTTTGATGCCAAAGACATTGTCACGTTACAGTAGAAGATAACCTTGCTGCGAATACAAAAAAAAAAAAATCAGTCCATTCACCAAAAAAATCAGTGTTTTAGTGAGTCAAATCAGTCCTAGAGTATATTAGTAATGTGATTTGGTACTGGCAGTTAGGGAGAACTATATTAAAATTTGTAAAATGGCTATGCATTGCAGCTGTAAACTGTTCTCCATGCCTTGTTTATAGAAATCCACACAGTGCAGCAAAGATCCCTTGAGACCCAGCAAGACTGTCACCGATGCATTACTTGTCCCAAGATCAAACAAGAAATCTTCAATCTCCTGACTCGGTTACCTGTCTCTTCTTACAGTTCACATAAGTTTTTCGGAAAACCTAATATTGTTTTAAGTCCATCGAAAATGTTAATAACTTTCCTTAAGTGTACGGAGACTGGTAACTTTAACCTGCCTACCATGAGTGTACACTGAAACTTGCCTAAGAAAACGTAAAGCAATACCACATATAAGGCACACAGCCATCAGTGTATACTGCACACTCACCAAAATACTCTAACAATATTCAACTTCAAAATACCATATATATGCATGTTATACAACTGTGTACCTTGTAAATGTAATAAAAGTAAGAGTAATATATATGTCACAAATAACCATGAACATATACAGTAAACTCTCCAGAAGCAGATTTACAACAATAAATATAGAATACACACCAGTGAATGCACACCACACACTTGTAAAAAAGTAACCTAAATGCAGTATATATGCCATACAACAGTGAGTTAATACTATAAACTTAAATCAGCTTAATTTATGTGCTTATCATTAACACTACAGTACAGGTTATGCCAAGTACATCAACTGGTATATAATTCTCGTTGTCAAGGACAGCAAGCCTACATCAACCACTGACTTTTCCTGTGATGCAACCCACAATTATCTAACTCTTGGGTACCTATGGTACTATTTGGTGAACAGAGGTATTAGATGAAATAAAACGCGCCCCAAAATTTGTCCTTTCGGGAACTAAACCCCCTTCTGTTGAGTTTTAACCCCCTGCCTAGGACGCAGACCACTATAAACTAGCCTTATATGCTTCTCCAAGTTCACATTTTACAAGCTTAGCTTATGGCATACATCTTACACTCCCATTACATAAACTTGGATCTGTATGTACTCCAATTAACGTATGTAACCGGCTTGCAACGGCTGACAAAGTACCCGCCTGCCTTTTAACCAGAAAAAAACTTTTTCCCTTTTAAAATTGGCATTTTAAGTCTGCCCAACGTCGGGTACGACACTTGGTACTTGTTAGAATAGATACTCAGAGGATAAAAAAGTGAGATGAAGTGCCAAAAATGAAGGAAGGAAATTACGATAACAGTCCACCACCAACATCCCAGCAACTCTTGTTTACATTACCATTTGGTCGCTTCTTCTCCTGCGTCGCCCAGCTGCGACAGGGGATACGGTTTTACCTGAATTTAAGATTTATATTGTATTTATATATACAAAAATTCTTACATTATTGTAAAGCTACTAGCATGCATAGCGTTTCGGACAGGTCCTCAATCCTAATTTTGCCCAGAATACTACCCGCCAAATCGTTGGACCAGGATTCATCAAGCAGGTAGGTACCAAAAAGTACCTACCTGCTGACTACAGGTAGATACTACAGTAGGTAGGTACTATGAATGCTACATAGCCTTCCCGGCTTGGTGCCTTCATTTGATAATTACATTATATCCTCATAGTTCCCTACCTAGTGCCTTAGTTCTTTTAATACACATTTCTCCTAACCAGCATTAATAAATTACCTTGTAACGGTTCTATTGTTAGGTAAAGTATGGTGACAGTAAACACAGACACTTAGAGAATATATATATTTGGTCGAGTATACAGAAGTATGCAGGTGATACTTTGGCGAGTGTGAATTCCGACTGCGTAGAGCGCACTGAGAGTCGGTACAGGATCTCGCAAGTGTCTGTTCTAGACCACACTTGAAAGTAAACTAGTTATTATTCGATTGATTGATTGATGAAGATTAAGCCACCCAAAAGGTGGCACGGGCATGAATAGCCCGTAAGTGGTGGCCCTTTTGAGCCATTACCAGTATCAAGAGCTGATACTGGAGATCTGTGGAGGTGCGACTGCACCCTGCGTGACGGGAGATGTCTCCCGTTGAGTTATTATTCGCTACTCTGCTGCTTATATGCTCGGACAACACCTCACCGTTCTTCAAAGGTTGGCAGGAATATTAACTGAAAGTAGAGAAAGGTTTGAGTTCCATAATTAGTACTAAGAGGAGCTTTGCTTCTCTCATTAGGCTAATGCGTTTGGAGCGAGTATATTATTGGGATAATCTACTTGCTACAACCTCTACTCATGGCTGCCAGACCAGGCGTTGGTTGCCGTGAGGTGTGGGTCCGCTGTTAGACCTGGTATTATAGGGAGGTGAGGTCCGCTGCTAGACCAGCCTTTGGTTGCCGTGAGGTGTGGGTCCGCTGTTAGACCTGGTATTATAGGGAGGTGAGGTCCGCTGCCAGACCAGTCGTTGGTTGCCATGAGGTGTGGGTCCGCTGTTAGACCTGGTATTATAGGGAGGTGAGGTCCGCTACTAGACCAGCCGTTGGTTGCCATGAGGTGTGGGTCCGCTGTTAGACCTGGTATTATAGGGAGGTGAGGTCCGCTACTAGACCAGCCGTTGGTTGCCATGAGGTGTGGGTCCGCTGTTAGACCTGGTATTATAGGGAGGTGAGGTCCGCTACTAGACCAGGCGTTGGTTGCCGTGAGGTGTGGGTCCGCTGTTAGACCTAATATTATAGGGAGGTGAGGTCCGCTGCCAGACCAGGCGTTGGTTGCCGTGAGGTGTGGGTCCGCTGTTAGACCTAATATTACAGAGAGGTGAGGTCCGCTGCTAGAGCAGCCCTTGGTTGCCGTGAGGTGTGGGTCCGCTGTTAGACCTAATATTGCAGAGAGGGGAGGTCCGCTGCTAGACCAGCCGGTGGTTGCCGTGAGGTGTGGGTCCGCTGTTAGACCTAATATTACAGAGGTGAGGTCCGCTACTAGACCAGCCGTTGGTTGCCATGAGGTGTGGGTCCGCTGTTAGTCCTAATATTATAGGGAGGTGAGGTCCGCTGCTAGACCAGGCGTTGGTTGCCGTGAGGTGTGGGTCCGCTGTTAGACCTAATATTACAGATAGGTGAGGTCCGCTGCTAGACCAGCCGTTGGTTGCCGTGAGGTGTGGGTCCGCTGTTAGACCTAATATTACAGATAGGTGAGGTCCGCTGCTAGACCAGCCGTTGGTTGCCGTGAGGTGTGGGTCCGCTGTTAGACCTAATATTACAGAGGTGAGGTCCGCTGCTAGACCAGCCGTTGGTTGCCGTGAGGTGTGGGTCCGCTGTTAGACCTAATATTACAGAGAGGTGAGGGTCCGCTGCTAGACCAGGCGTTGGTTGCCGTGAGGTGTGGGTCCGCTCATAGACCTGGTATTATAGGGAGGTGAGGGTCCGCTGCTAGACCACGCATTGGTTGCCGTGAGGTGTGGGTCCGCTGTTAGACCTGGTATTATAGGGAGATGAGGGTCCGCATCCGCTAGACCAGGCGTTGGTTGCCGTGAGGTGTGGGTCCGCTGTTAGACCTAATATTACAGAGAGGGTGAGGTCCGCTGCTAGACCAGCCGTTGGTTGCCGTGAGGTGTGGGTCCGCTGTTAGACCTGGTATTATAGGGAGGTGAGGTCCGCTGTTAGACCTGGTATTATAGGGAGGTGAGGGTCCGCTGCTAGACCAGCCGTTGGTTGCCGTGAGGTGTGGGTCCGCTGTTAGACCTGGTATTATAGGGAGATGAGGGTCCGCATCCGCTAGACCAGGCGTTGGTTGTCGTGAGGTGTGGGTCCGCTGTTAGACCTAATATTACAGATAGGTGAGGTCCGCTGCTAGACCTAATATTACAGTGGATAGGTGAGGTCCGGTGCCAGGGGACCTGGGGGAGAGTGAGAGTGGGGGAGGGAGTGACTACAGCCGGAGCCCGTAGGTCGTCCCGTCAACACAAGGTGGGTCATCAAGAAGGAGTCTTGAGGGCGCATCACATCCCATGATCATCGTTGCACCTAAATCAACAAGGACTGGGATTCTTCAGCGAACATTCAGTATATAAGTGTGATAACATGCGCCTTCACCCTAGTGAAGTAGTCACTTTACTTGTAAAATCAACTTAATTTCTGTTTTTTGTTAACCCCCAATGTACCTTCTTGTATATAAATAAATTAAATAAACATAAATTAATAATAGCCGGCTATTGTCCTGACGTACTTAGAACCGTTTTCCCTTTGCCGAACTTGTAAGCTAACCTGTGGTCATTGTAGTCTTGCTGGGCAACTATACCATTTACCATCCTCAGTTTCCTCATAGTTTCCTACCTTGTGCTTCAAACTCGCACTGTATCTTGTGCTACCCACTCTACCAATATTAGTACCTAAGACATGCAGTTTTACCATTGTTATCACAGCCATAAACTTAATCGTAGTTATTATGTTGAATGCAAATTTTGGTACAATGTACCTACTAATAACTATGTTAGATTAAAGACCTGCCTGAAATGCTATGAATGTTAGTGGCTTTGTAAGAATGTCAAAACATCAATGTCAAACGTCAAAACATATTATTTACTCTCACAAACCCAGTGTACCTTCTGATATATATATAAATAAAATAAAAAAATAACAGCTCTTAGACCAGCTGACTCACCCACAAGAGGTCGTAAGCATGGTTAACCTGCCCCAGCATTGCTTGTGTGATGCCATAGTCACTTCACACAATATATATATAAAATAAAATTGTTATTTTCTTTAGGCTCAGTTTGGATGGGATGGTAGTGGTTTTGTTTGTTTAGGAAGGGTTGTTTATGTTAGATTAGATTTGTTTAAAAGAGTAGTAATAATACAGGCAGGGCAAACCTTTCTCAGGTCTTAAATCCTACTCCAAGAAGTAGTAATGTTTATGGAGTTCAAGATTGCTCCTGTTGCTTCTCGCAGACCGCAGAGCTTCAACAACATCCTTGGAATGCGTTCAATATCTTGATCAGCCTGGTTCATTTCTATGTTTAAATCAGAGGGACCAAAGTCAAAGATCAGGGCTGGAGCTAACTTTCTGGGCCCTTGGCCAAAACAGCTAAGTAGGCACCACACACTAGTCAGTAATTACCTAATTGTACTTACAGGATGAGAGCTATGCTCATGATGTTCCATCTTTGTCCCAGCACATTTTGTCATAACACTTTGAAACTACATACAGTTTTAACCTCTACCACCTTCTCACTTAACTTATTCCAACCGTCTACCACTGTTTGCAAAAGTCAACTTTCTAATTTTTTTTGCAACTTTGTTTCCTTTGTTTGAAGCTATGTTCTCTTGTTCTTGAAGTTTTCAAGAATTCTTCTTTGCCAATTTTTTCGATTCCTGTTACTATTTTATACGTAGTGATCATATCTCCTCATAGTTCTTGTTTGTTTTTTTAATTTCCAGAAGCCATTTAGTTGCATGTCTCCACTTTTTCTAGCTTATTGATGTACAGTACTTCTTCAGGTATGGGCACCATACACCTGCTGCATATTCCTATTTTGGTCTCACAAAAGTTGTGAAGAATTTCATTAATATTTGTATTTCATGTATTTCAAAGTGATTCTGATGTTTGAAAGTGTAGCATAGACCTAACTAACTAGAAAGTATCTCGCACAATGTTATATATGTGGTCCTCAGGTGACAGTTTTCTTCCGAGAACCACCCCTAGGTAGTAATCTCTATTATTATTCATTTACCTAACCTAACACAGTATAATTACTGCATATGAATTTGGCAAGATCAATTTTGGCTGCCAACTGCTGAGGCTTTACTGATTGAAGGCCCTTGGCTTTCTGGTGAGGCTTCGCTGGTTGACGGCCTTTGGCTTTGCTAGATTTTCTCATCCGGTAAAAGTCATGGTGACCCAGTTTGTCTTCGAGTTACGAAGTCAAATACAATACTGTACTTGAATTCAAATTTATTTTGGTTTCTTGTTCCATATATCCTGTTAATCCTTAAACTGCACAAAACCTCATATGATGTGTGACACTGAACTCAGTTTTTAAAATTTTCTGAAACTCTTTCAAATGTTTTGTGAATAATCTACTAGGCAAATGCTCCAACTTTGTCTAAATGATACCAGTGTAACTTGAAAAACAAGAAAATAAAAAATAATTATAAAATTGAATATTGAAAACTTCAGATTTTGAAATCAGCTGCAAAAATATAAAAACATCACCAACTGTTAATTTGGTGGTGTTATGCTCTCAGAATAGCATATGATCTTCATTTTCATATATTTAGAATATAAGTTTTCAGTATACTGTAGTTTACTATAAACAAAAATTTGGTAATATGGCATTTGAAATATTATATGCGCAAATTTGGACAACAAAAATTTATAACTCCAAACTTTTAGAGTTTATGAAAAATCAATTCTATAGGGATTGTAGAACAGACAGCTGTGCACATTATATGTAAAAATGGTGAGAATAGGTCAGAAACTAGATTTTTGGATACTGAAGTGAGTTGAAATTCTAGTTATAGATACAATTGAAGTTGAAGTTATCGACAATGAATAAGGCAGTTCTAATTCATGAATTTACTTGTAGGTTGTAATAAACATTGCTTGGCATTCATACTCAAGTATGTGAAAGTTGTAGGTCAATGTGAGTAGAAATGAAATCAAGAAAAAATACCCCCCCAAAAAACAAAATATAAGGTTAATTATAATAATTATAATGATTTAGGATATACTTTGTATGAGTAAAAAAACCCTAATCTGGTCCCTAATCATCGAAACAGCCTAAAGAAACAAGGAAAATAGAGTTTGAAATCTGTGAAAAAATTAGCCAAAAAAGTTTAAAGTCCCAAGTTTTGAGAGTTGTAACTGATTTATTTGTTGACCAATTTAATTCTGGCTTCACATAGTGAGGGACGAGTATGCATTCTCCAGGATGTAAATGTTAAAAAAAATTAAAATAATAAACAAAGGAGGAAAAATACCTAAAAACCTAAAAAAAAAAAAAACTTAAAGTATTTTTTTGGACATTGTTGAAAGTAAATGATAATAACATTGGGCAATGTATTTACAGTATATGATATATAACAAGATAGAGCATAACAACATAATTACTCATTATTATTTGTGTTATTATGTATTACTCACCAATGCTATAAAGGCACCAGCTGTATATCCACTTTGTGGACACTTCTTACTACTATTCTTCTTCTTTGTGCGTCAGACAGGTGCTTGCATCTCTTTATTATTGCATTATCCATCAGTTCAAGTTAATAGGAGCTGTTCTCCTTATCAACAAAATGTTTTTTTTTTTTAAACTTCATCTAAAATCAATTTCTGAAAATATTTTGATGAAAGTTTCACGAAGCTGAAGCCAATAAGTTAGAGATTTGTTTACCATTTTTAAGTAATTTTTACATAATTTGAATATTTTTCAAATTACTGTATACCCCTTTCAATGTCACACATCATATGGTGTTTTGCGCAGTTTAAGGGTTAACCTGAATACCCATTCTAGTTAAAAGATCCAGAAAAAATTCTAAATCTTGAACATGAATTCAAGCAAATTACTCAATGATTCAGGTTACTAGTATCTGAATTACCAAGTTCTAAGTTACTCATGGTAAAATTAATCACAGGTGAAAGTAAAGCAACTCTGGTCACTTCAAACAAATGATTTTTAAAACCTTTAATACCCAGTCTTTGTAGGGCCCCATGTTAGTTACGAGGATTCATTCAGAATTTAGATGCTTGGAACATGCTAATGTCTCAATCACACTTCAATAATGTGGTGTTCTTAGTTTCAGAATGTCAAACCCAGTCGAACCCAGACTTCCTCCACCAGTGTGCGAAGAGTTTGTGTTTGGTGAATGGACCTTAAGGGTCACAAAAAGTCACATCATGGGGTCCCAGTGTGAGTCACCTACACAGTGTGAGGAAAACACGGGGGTGAATAAGCTGTGTAATTGGTGCCGGTAAGTTTTGACAGTTACATAATGTGTACTGTAAGTTCTGGTAGTAGCTGCTTAACTTTTGAAAGTCTGATATTCTAAATCCTTTGAAGGTTTAGCTTTACTGTTAGAGATATTTTTTGTTTTGTGGCTAGAGGGCTCTTCTTGACAACCCAATCAGATCTGATAGTCATTTGTCTTGCCAACAGATACGAAAAATTGTTGACACTACCTTCCCTGCCAGACATGGTGTTTGCCAACAACTGTCTGCAAATTGAACATAAGGATGGGGGCAGCATCTCATTTAATGCCTTTGATGCTCTAGAGTGCGTTAATGATAGAGAGGACACATTACAAGTGGCGCATGCTGAAGTATGGAAAGAAGCCAGGTGAGGAGGTACGGGACAATTTTGCTGTACATACAGAGTGAAATAAACATTTTCTGATTTGTTTGGGTGTTAAAGATATAGTGATGCTCTGTGCTTGTCAAGATCTGGGATATTTTTTGATCGGACAACCAGGTTTTTTTTACAGTACTGTATTAGCTTTTCCTAATTTCCAGTAGTTTTTTTTCATAGCATGGTACCTTTATGTTTTGTCAAACACCTGAAGAGTTTGTTGACCCTTAGACAACAGCTATGAAGAAATGGTCTTAACTGCCTATGCACAAAAAATTCCAAAAATTATTTTTCTTTATAAAATTATCACTTGTTTTTCTTTATTTACATCCACAGAGAGCTTTTATGTCCATATCTGCATCATACATGTAAAACCCAGACAATAATTGTTTAAATCGTCATATGACGATGACCACATTTCCCTAGTAACATTCTTGACAATGACTGCATTTCCCTTCTGACTTTCACGATAACCACATTTGTAACCAATGGTAGCAGGATTTCTTTCAAGGGTCAAGGTAAACTTCATTACATCCACATAGACCTATTACAGTATAGCCTTATTTATATCATACATGTAAAACCCGGATAATAATTTGTTTAAATCTTCATATGACGATATCCGCATTACCCAATGAATCAACGATTGACGATGACTGCAGCCTAAGTGTTAAGGAAGGCTTAATAGACTTTTGGTGTCTAACATTTGTCATCCACATATCCTTATTTAGTTGGTTAGGGACACTGTGCATCACATACACTATTTTATTCATGCATGCATGCTCACATCGGTGTATTATACTTAGCTAGGCTGCAAAAATAATATTTTTATGCTGAGGGGGTCATGGATGCAACCTCTTATATTTGCCTTGTTGGGGTACTTGCCAGACCTTGAGATAGGGACCATATGAGGATGCACACAAATTACAAGCAAGAGGGGGAGATAAGAACATTAACCCTTCAACAGTGCAATACATACATATATGATTTGACATAAAATAATTTAACAAGTTTTTAAAACTTGCACAAACACTTTCCAACTTTTTTTTGCATAATCAACTAGGCAAATGCTCCAACTTTGTCTAAATGATCACAGCGTAACTTGAAAAACAAGAGAATCAAAATTAATTTTAAATTTGAATATTGAAAACTTCAGATTTTCAATTCAGAATAAAAAATATGAACTATCACCAATTGTTCATTTAATGTTATTATTCTCTCAGAATAGCATATGATCTTCATTTTCATCAAATTAAAATATAGGTTTTCAGTATAGTTTACTGTAAAAAAATCGTCAATAAGGCATTCAAAATGTGTAGCAAATTTAGACCCCCAAAAATTATAGCTCTAAATGTATAACGTTTATGAAAAGTCCATTCTGAAGGGATTGTAGAACAGACAGCTGGGCACACACTATATCAAAATAGTGAGAATCGGTCAAAAACTGGAATTTTAGAAGCCACTCAAAGATGAAACTCTAGTTTCAGAGATAATTGAAGTTGAAGTTATCAACAATAAATAAAGGTAGTTTTAATTCGTTAATTTAATTGTATGTTTTAATAAATATTGTTTGGCATTCGTACTCGAACATGTGAAAGTTGTAGGTCAATTTGTTTTTTAAATGAAGTCAAGAAAAAATAACCCCCCAAAAAATGCAAAATATAGGGATAATTATAATGATTTAGGGGATGTATTTAGGGTATACTTTATATAAGTGAAAAAGCCCTAATCTGGTCCCTAATCATCAAAACAAACTAAAGAGACAAAGTAAATAGAATTTGAAATCAGAAAAAAAATCTGCCAAAAAAATTAAGTCTCAAGTTTTGCGAGTTGTAAGTGACTTATTTCTTGACCAATTTCATTCTATCTTCACATAGTTAGGGAAATATATGCATTCCCCAGGATGTAAAGGTTATAACAAAATCAGATTATAAACAAAGGAGAAAAAACTAAAATCTAAAAAAAAAAAAATTCCCCTAAACCAAAATATTTTTAAGACATTGATGAAAATAACATATATTAACATTGGACAATTTATTTATATGATATATAACAAAATAGAGCATAATAACATAGTTATTCATTATTATTTGTTATTATGTGTTACTCAGCAATGATATAAAGGCACCAACTGCATATCCACTTTGTGGACACTTCTTACTACTATTGTTCTTCATTGAGCGTCGGACAGGTGCTTGCATTTCTTTATTACTGTACTGCATTATCCTTTAGTTCCAGTTATTAGGAGCTGTTCTCCTTCTCAACAAAACGTTCTTATTTTTTAAAAATTCGTCTAAAATGAATTTCTGAAAATATTTTGATGAAAGTTTCAAGATACTGAAGCTAATAAGTTGGAGATTTGTTTAACATTTTAAGTTATTTTTACATAATTCTAATATTTTTCACTACCAGGGCCCCCAATATGCATGGTAATATACACGGTCTTAGGGTTAAATTCTAGGATTAAAATTAAAAGCAAGAGGCGAGACAAGAACATAAAATTCAAGGAAACTGCTGAAGGCCTATTGCCCATGTGAGGCAGCTCCTATTTATATCCACCCAAACTCATTTAAATATAAATAGGCTACCTCTATTATGTTACGTGGTAATTGGTTCCACAAATCAACGACCCTTTTACTGAACCAGATCTTTCCTAAATCTAAACATATATGGATATACATGTCCTGTAGACCACTGTGCTACAGTATCGGTTCACAACCAAGGTTCAGTTCCCCATGGTAGGACAAAAGCATTTAGGCAATGTTTCCTTTTCGATTCATGCCTCTGTTAACCTAACATTACATAGGTATCTTTGATTTAGGCAACTGTTTCAATTCCATTCTGAGAAGCATCAATAAATGACTTAGGAGGACCTCAATAAGTATAACAGGCTTCCTATTCCAAACCATGGGAAACTTTAAGGTGAACCAAATATGCAAGGTGGTGGGTGCAATTGTCTGGTAGTTCACAGGCAACATAGGGACATGTTTTCAAGCATCACCAGCTGGCAGATTTCGTTGACAATACTTGTCTAAACATCGCTCAGAAAACATATCCCCAGTGTATGAATACCCTATTGTCAATCAGATAATTAAATTATCACCAATGACATTGAGAAAATATGCATATATCAAAAAAATAGAATAAATCATAGATGTTTAAGGTGTGGTGAGGCATGATACATTTTCCTTATTAAGGTATGGTGGGCACTGATCTCTTCACAAGTTCATCGAATCATGGTCAATATTTCCAGAGACTTCTGGTTGTTGCATTCTCAACCAATTGTTTGTAGACTTTATGTACACCAATAGCACTCAATGGTGCAACAATTACAAATTTACCAAAATATTTGTGTATTATGTATGAAATGTATTTTAAAGTTAATATTTTTTGAGTTTGGAACAGATTAATTTAATTTATATTATTTCTTATGAGAAAATTTGTTTCGGGTTGCAAATTTTCAGTTTACGAGCCGTCTCTAGGAATGGATTAAATTTGAAAACCAAGGTACCACTGTATTAACTGTATTAAATGGAATCAAATCACACTATAGAATGAAAAAGCAGTGTAAAGGATCTAGGATGCCATACCAATGATGATACTTTTCAAGATACTAGTGTAGTCTAGGGTGAAATATTGTTGCATTCTTAACAGCCCCATTCGAAGCCGGAGAAATTGCTGACCAAGAGAGCGTGCTTTTACTGCTAGAATCCACTCTATAAGTCATCTTAATTATTGGGACTGATTAAAAGTTCTAAATCTATATTCTCTAGAGCATAGGCGAGAGATACATAATCTACATGTGGAAGATATTAGAGGGATTGGTTCCAAATCTGAACATAGAAATAACATCACATGAGACCAGTAGGCATGGCAGGATGTGCAAAATATTCCCGTTGAAAAGCAGAAGTGCAATAGGTATTGTTATGTGGGTAGTGTGACTGTGAGGGCCACTAGTAATAATCAAAGGAGTTCCTAAAATCAGTGGAGATCAGATAGGCCCAGCCCCCAATAAGAATATAACCAGCACTAAATTACTAGCTTTAAAGTAATTTCTGCAGTCTAGTGGTAGATCATCTACTCCACTTCAACAGGATAACAGTAAAACTCCTATCTTATACCTTATTTATTAAACCCTCAAATAACCCCCCATATACATTACTACAATAATATACTTTACCCCTCTACCTTATGTTAAACACCTTGGTCCACATAAGACAGGATACAAGGTTTACACTTGCAAACTAGGGTAAAGACTACTTGAGAGAAGCACTTGTAAGGCTTGAAGCAACCCGGAGTATCCCACGTGGTACCCTAGTCACAGTGGAGTACCCTTAGTGATGCCAAAACACTGGCTTAGACTACACAATACTTATAAATAAAACACACACCTAGCCAGTAGCATGGAACAAACCTTGAAAGGGACTTATCTTATAAAATATGGAATAAGGTAAGGGAAGAGAGGAGGAGGAGAAACAGACCTACACAGGAGAGTTGTGTACACCACCACATAGCCAGCCAGAGAGAAGGGAGAGCATGGCCACTCGAGCTCATTTAAATATGCTGCCGGGATGGATACTTAGCTGATCGTACAGCAGACATCATCTCAAGTTTACTCAGACATTCATTACTAGTTACTTTAATAGTTCTAAGAATAGCTGATAACTAGTTCAATATTATATTTAATAATCAACAAGCTCAGAGTCTGAATAATCTGTGAGTAACAAGGCTCGTCTTATGTCTGGCAAGGAAGACGGAATCAAGGTATGAAAAGTCTCCAGTATAAACATTATTGTTAACTAAATATCCCTCTTACCTAACTATTTAGATTCAATTTGACCTCTGGTTTCCAATATGAACCCAGGGTCGTAACAGGTATGCTGAGGGAGAACTATTAACATCAAGGGCCCAGTGCTTTTCAATGTTCTCCCACTACACGTAAAGAGCATAACTGGCCGATCTCTCAGTGTTCAAGACAGAACTTGACAAACACCTCCAAAGAATACCTGATCAACCAGGCTGTGATTTATATGTTAGGCTGCGATCAGCCACGTCCAACAGCTTGGTTGACCAGACGACCAACTATATAAGCTACTGAGGTGTCGCATTTCATAGATTTAAACTTACTAAACAAATCTGCTGAAGAAATATAAGAAAATTCACTTTCGCAAACAGTGGTATACGGTTGGAACAAGTTAGGGGAGCAGGTGGTGGAGGCCAAAACTGTCAGTACTGTACTTTCAAAGCGTTATACGACAGAGTGCTGGGGAGATGGGACACCACAAGCGTAGCTCTCATCCTGTAATTACACTTAGGTAATTACAGAAAAATGGCATTTCATAAAACTTACTGGTCTATTTTTATTTACTTTTCAACCCTCAGTGGAAACAAAATTTGCATGGTGTACCATGGTAAAAGGGTTAATCAAGTGATGTTGCAAATTTAGCATTTGTTGGCTGCTGCATCTTGTTGAGTATTTATAGTGCATGTATTTATGGCACTGGAGTATTTGGACCAACAAAGATAACTTTGATTCAGAGTTGGAGCATCATTATTGATGTTATTGATGTGTTTTAGTGGAATAAACTGGCTTAACAGAGCAAGGAATAATGAAGTAGAAGATTTTCTAGAATTAATAAACAATTGCTTCCTTAAGCAACACGTTAAGGAACCAATGCGGGAAAATAATATTAACGGGGAGATAAATTGATGACATTGAAATAGGGAGTGAGCTAGGGAACAGTTATCACTGAGATCAGATTTAGCAAGGAATGGAATAGATTTGGAGAAAATTCTGTAAAAGTGCCAGATTTCTGAAATGGGTTAAGAAAATTTTTGGGTGTAATAGATTGGAAAGTCCTTTGCATGGGGGGCGGGCCAGTCTTGGAGCGAGATGTTATCGTAGAAGGTGACGTAAGAAGGGATTTTGATGTGGATTTAAAATATAACTTATTTAAAAATACTATTCTAAGCAAGGCACAGAACGTAGTATACCATACAAATTGAATAGATTGAATAATGATGACCCGAAATGGATAACAAAGGATCTGAAGAATCTTATAGGTAGAAAGGGAGCTTGGTGCAAAAGGATTAAGAATGTGGAAGTCAGTTTAGAACAAGAATTAGTCCAAATTATTAGAAATGTTAAAAAAAAAAAGATAAGGAGGGGAAAAAACTATGAAGTTTGCATAGCAAGGCAAGCAAAGACAAATCCTAAAGGGTTTTCTCAATTATATCGAACAAAGGTTAGGGAAAGGGTAGGTCCATTAAAAACTGGGACAGGTCAGATAACTGATAATGATGAAGAGATGAATAGTATTTTCAATAAATATTTTATCTCTGTATTTACTAAGAAGGAACATAACATTATGCCTTCAGCCAAACAAGTCTATGTGGGTGGGGAAGAGGACAGGTTGACTAGTTTAGCAGTTACCAAGGAGGATGTTATTAAATAAATGGTGAAACTCAAGCCAAACAAATCCCCAGGGGCCAGACGAAGTATTTGCCAGGGTGCTTAAAGAATGCAAAGAGGAGCTTTGCGAGCCATTGTTTCCCATATTTTATCAATCAATCAAGTCAGGAAGAGTTCCAGTCATGGAAGGTTGCTAATGGGGTTCGTTTTCAAGAAAGGAGAGAGATCACTTGCGTCAAACTATCGGCTAATTAGCTTAATGTCTATTGTGGGAAAGTTACTTGAATCTCCAATTGCAAATACCATTCGTCTTCATCTTGAAAAACATAAATTAATAAAGGATTCACAACATGGTTTTACAAATGGCCATTCATGTTTACCAAATTTGCTATCATTTTATTCCAGCATAGTTGAGGCAGTTGATAGTGATAAGGTTTGTGATGTTGTATACCTTGACTTTAGCAAAGCTTTTGACACCGTGCCACAAAAAAAAATTATTAAAAAGTTAGAGGCTCACAGTATTGGGGGTGCTATAATATGCCCATTGAGTATACTGCATGTGTACTCGACATGCACAAATCTGATAGTAGCCCACCTTTGTTTTCATATTGTGTATGAGTAACCCTCTACTCTACTCCTTTTTCAGTAGTGCTTGCCCCCATCCCCCATCAAGTACCAACTCACTTGCCATACATTGTACACTTGTGCAAAGGGCATAGATTGATACATAAACTTGTCTTGAATTACTTTAGAGTAATTAAACCTTTTTTTCAGAGCAGATTGTGAGTTTGTTAAAAAGGTGGTGAAGCCTTACGATTGGACTTACACTACAAATTTTCGAGGAACACTCTCTGGAGGACTTAAGGCTGAGACCTCAACTGAACGCATTGATCTTGACAAATTACGAGTACGTGAGGAAATAAAGTTTTATGAAGAAATTTTCCTATACGAAGACGAATTGGATGACAATGGAAGCACGAGATGTGTTGTAAAAGTGGTAAGAGCAAGGGAGAATATTTTGTTAACTATTGCATGCCCCAAAAAAGACCCCATTTTGATTATACAGTTAGGTTTTAGTGTCCACATTATAGGCTGGACATAAATTTGAAAGCATACAGATAGAAATAAAAGTTAATCCTAGGAATTAGAAACTTCCCTTGTGAAGAAAGATTTAAAAAGGTAAATTTACAATATCTAGAAAGACAGAGTCAGGGGTGTTATACTTTTTGTTGTTTCCAGAAATCAACCTTCCCGTGGCTCGGTCTCAGACCAGATTGAAGTATATAAATAATGAAAGGGGATGTTAATAACAAATAAGGTTTTCAATATATCAACACAAAATAGGACTCAAAACAATGGATATAAATTGAATAAGTTTAGAATCAGGAGAGACCTGGGTCTCTCCTGATTCTCGTTTTTTTTTTTCGCACTTTTGACATCCAGCCTCAGAACTGAGATGTGGGTAGCCGGCATGGAGGGTCTGGGGCTCCCCCTTCCCCCTTCCAGGGAGGAGGAAGCTGCGCAGACAGCGGCGCGGCGACGTGTGACGTCACACGAGTTTGCTTGTTTCTGTTGGGGAGTTCTATCCACTAGTTCGGTAGCAATTTTAACCAGAATAGGGGTTTGTTTTGAGGCGCTTATCTTTCTGGGTGCCTGTTCCGGTCGATGGCAGACATAGAATGCTTCCAACCACACGGGGGTTTCTATAGGCCAATGCTCCCCTTGCCTCTCTGAGGGGGACCGGTTCTGGCCGTGGTCCCCGGTAGGCCTAAGAATTCCATACACATGACTGATGCCAAAGTCTAACATTAGCATATCAGCCTGGGAAAGCTCCGGGACTTGCCCAGAAAATGGCGTTTCATTACATTCAATGCTGGTTTTTCTACATTAAATATTATTTAATGCAATTCTATAATACATAGATATTAATTATTTAATGCAGTTGAAATATTCAGGCTTGAGTGGCTTTCAGTGCTATGCATAAATGCTAAATACAGTATAGTAGATACAAATGTCTTGAAAAAAGTATATGATTATCAAAAATCGATACAAAAGGCTAGATACAGAAGAATATAAACTGGGATCAAAGATATACTGCATGGTGCAGTATGAGGTTTTTTTTTTAAGGATTTAAAAGCAATAAATGTGATGGCCAAAACCCAAGGATTTGTTATTTTACAGAGAGTGATGCCCAGTGGATTTTTTGTGGTATTCCGACACTATCTGCGTGTTGACCAAGTAATTGTGAGGGTCAACGACACCAGACTGTACAGCCCTGTCGGCGCCTCATATATACAGAGGGAAACCTCGTCAAGAGAGGCCCCAATCTCAAAATTACATGTGAGCTAAGTTTAATTCTTTGAGTAGGGTATGTTGTTTTTAGTCATGTCTATAGGAAACTTCATTATTCTGATTTTTCTTTCATTCATTATTTGGGTATTTGCATTTTACAGTTAATTTTTCAGATTTGTAGATTAGGCTTTGCAATGTGTATATATTAGGGTCTGCAGCATGTATATTAGGCATTATACAATATTATTAGGGACACCCCAGACTGCCACCTAGGAAAACTGCCCCATAAGAGCCCTAAGCCTAAACAGAAGCTGTGGACTAAGTGCCAAGGAATACAGAGCAGCAAAAAGGTGTACAGCAAGGGAGCAAGTACATATTCCCAGCTGGCCAAAACTAAAATTTCAAGCCAGGAAAGCATTGGGCAGAAGAACCGAGTACTGTACATGTGTGAAAAATCCAGGGCACTGAAGACCGACAACCAGACTCAAAAACCACAAACCCCGGCTGGGAATGATCAACATGGAATCAAGGCACAGAATTAAAAGGTGGAGGCTAAAAAAATTTCAGCTGGCAGGCTGAAACTCATAGCTCACTCTACTCAGCATGGGGCAAGACACAGGGGCCAGTGAAACAAAGCCTCAAGTCCACAAACCAAATGAAACTGAGACCTCAGCCAGGATAGTGGTACAACTTCAAATGCCCAGGAAAGCAAGGCAAACCAACCAAGCATGAACCTAGAGCATGAAGGAACAGTTTTTTTTTTTATTTAGCAAAATTAGGTATACACACCAATGTGCTGCTACCCTAATCTATATGAGATATTACAAAGTGTACATCAAGAACTAGCTATAGGTTCAACTATTATTCTCATCTCACGGATGGTTAGTCATACATGGAATTAGGGGGAGATAATACCTGCCTTAATACATAAACAAACCAGTTCTGACTAAACAGCTGGCTATAACACACAGAAATCACAATAGCGTGTGTAATGAAGTAAAGGCGAAGAGGTAGAATAGCTTATTAGCAGAGCTCAGGTGCATGGGGGAATTGTGTAAAAACCTGGCTTGTGTCTCGGAGAGATTGCAGGATCCGTGGTAGGTCAAGTTGATTTCCTGGTTGCAATTCTTTTGACCATGTCGTAGCTCAGTCAATTAAGGTGCATCTGGAATCCTCGCGGACGTAGGTTCGAACCCTCGTCACAGCCCTTGTGGATTTGTTCAGCTAGCTATAAGTTCATCTAATATTCCCATCTCACAGGATGGTTAGTCACACATGGAATCAGGGAAGAAAATGCCAGCCTCAGTACAAAAACAAAGAAACAGTGACAGGAAATCCTCTGAGTATATAACCAATGAAAAAACACCCGAGGACACAACCCCCCAAAAATAACTGACATGCTGTCTGGGAAAAAATGTCCTGACACCACCCAGGAACCCCTGGGAGGTTTTATTAAACAATAGAGATTTTATACAATATTTGACAATATCCTGAGTTACTTTACAATTTATTTAAATATTTTAGTTTTGTTTTATTATTTTTATAAAACTGTAATATCAATATAGGTATACATTCAGTACTAATTGTAATATCTTAACATACTAAGGTGGTTAGGTTAGGTTGTGGTTTTCTATTCAGCTTTTCAAGGTAAACTCAAATATTCACAATAAATTAGTATGTCACATATGGACTTATTCATAAGCAAGATATTGACTATAAGCAAGTGCGTGAACGGGTTGCCTGGGAATGCAACCCCAATTGTACACATGGCTCAGAAACCCCAAGGCACACAGCCTGTAAATCACTAAGCACAACCAAGAAATGTTCAGGAACACAGCTGGAACTGAAGAGAAACAACTCTTCAACACAAAACAGGGAGACTCCCTGGAAACTGAGATCACAGCATGAGAGTAAAATGCAGAAAAGAAATTGAACCCAGTAGGAAGAGAGAAACCCCTAGGGTTCCCAGCAACCCAAAAGCTGGCAAGCTGAAAACTAATTAGTCTACACAAACACTGCTAAACATATAACATCTCAGGGTCTGTTGTTGGGTCTCGCATTAACATTGGTGGTTGGTGGTCCTGCAACCCGTTAGTGTCATCTGTAAATACAATGGAACTTCGACTTATTAATTACTTACGAATTTTTTGAGTTACGACCCCAATTTTGTCGGAAAATTCTACTTGACTTACGACCTTGTTGATACACGTATGGGCCGACCGAGTGCGTGGTGCGCTTCAGTTTACCAGTCTCTCTCGCCTTGTGACGATTGCGCTTGAATTCTTTGTAAAGAATTTCATTATTTTTCTGCTTTTTTTGGTTTTTGAACATAAAAGTAATTATTATATATCATGCTATGGGTCCCAAGAAAGTCAGTGGTAAGGTTCAACCTAAGAAAATAGTTAAGTAGAGACGGTAGAGGACGTACCTTCCTCATTAAGAAAATGTGTGAAGTATGGGAAGAATGCAAAGTTTTGTTGAAAAAAACTCCCCTAGATAAAGCTGTAGCAGGCCATTGCATTGACCTTTTGAATGACAATGTGATGTCTCATTACAGACAAGTGTTAAAATGTAGGGAAAAAAAGTGTCTTTAGACAGATTCTTAGTAAGACAAACAAGCAGCGAGCCACAACCAGGTCCCAGTGGTATGACTGCAAACGTAGGAGGGACTACCCCAGAAAAGTCATCACTGCCTGATGTTATAATGGAAGGGGACTCTCCTTCCTCCTTTCCCCTCCTCACCGTCTTCGATACGTCAACAAGAGTCATAAATAAAGGTAAGCTATAACCTTTGCATACTATAGTATAAAATATTTCTGTGTATTATGTATGAAATGTATTTTGAAGTTAATATTTGTGGGAGTGTGGAACGGATTGATTCAATTTACATTATTTCTTATGGGAAAATTTGTTTCAGGTTACGAATTTTCGAGTTACGCCCCCGTCTCTGGGAACGGATTAAATTCGTAAATGGAGGTACCACTGTACCATAATTGGTCTGATAACACTAAACATGTCATCCAAATTTGGAATTTCCAAAAATAACATTTTTACCAATGCATTTGCACCTTCATGATGAAACTTGAAATACATGAGCACACTGTGGGCAGAGCTCAACTGGGGACCAAGCAGAGGTCATCTCTGCCAACTACCCCATCACTCCAGATGATAACCGCTCTATTCATGCACCTGACAGCTGAGTGGACATCGCTTCGGATTCATAGTCTTGAGGTTCCGGGTTCAATCCCCAGTGAAGGCAGAGATAAATCGGCAAAACGTTTCTTTCGCCCTGATGCCCCTGTTACCTAGCAGTAAATAGGTACCTGGGAGTTAGACAGCTGCTGCGGGCTGCTTCCTGGGGGTGTGTAACAAAAATGAGGTCTGGTTGAGGACCGGGCCGTGGGGACGCTAAGCCCCAAAATCATCTCAAGATAACCTTAAGATATGCATACTGTACTTTCTAGTCATTTTGCAAATTACTTTACAAAAGATAATGCAAGTACTGTACAGTAATGTTTTTCCATTACAGCTACATAGATCAGTCATTTCCAAACATACAGTATACATATATGTTTATTGCATATACTGTACTATATTATTTTGTTTCATATAAACTCTATTGTTTATTTAGGATGGGAAAAAAAAAAAAAAAAGAGTATAATTTAGCCGAAGACTCAATAAGTGTCTGACAGTGGCAAGAGGGAGCAGTTAGCTTGCTGTGCCACTCTCTTACTCACTCCATGTGTGTTGCAATTTGCTGTTATTTATAATTCCCATCAATAATTTTTTGTATTATACTTTTAGGGTACAGTAATACAGTACAGATGCATTGTGTAAAAACATGAAGATTGATACATAAGATGGAAGAGCATTAGAAAGGGGTGGAGGGAGCCATATTAGTTATGGTTTGATGCCATCTGCCACCATCATATGTATGCTTGCATTAATACTTTGGCAGATGAATTCACTAACATTAACACCCAAATGAATTCATGTTTATCATTTTCAAGTAAACAGCAGGAGTAACCAGTTACATAAAAATTGCAAATTTGTTCACCTTTGGATATTCCTGGTAAGAAATTCAGCTAAGTCGAGTGTTTAGGTAACTCAAATGTGAGCGAGCCTCATATGATTTGAATTATCGAACTTTGAGAGTACAGTACTAAAAAATGTACTGTACTTGTAATATTTGTTGAAAGCCTTATTTGCAGACTTAACAATGGCATTACAGAATGTTTGAAAAGTGCCATAATTAAAGAATGTAATTCAAAATTGCAAAACCTTACCTCTGGTTTTGCTATCCAAAAGTTTAAGCAATGTTTAAATTATTGTAAATGCCCATCACGTGGATAGTGAATTTCCAACCCATCCTTCCGTTTAGATAGTACTGTACCTATTGTGATGATCTTCAATAGCCAGAATTCGTACGTTCTTAGTTTTTAGATAGAATACTGACTAGTAAGAAATTCTTTTAAAATAAATGATGCTAAAACACAAACTTAAATATTCCTAGGCCTAGTATAGCACACGCATGTTCTATATTAGGCCTCAGATATCGTGTTCAGTGGTACCTTGGCTTACGAATTTAATCCGTTCCCGGAGACGATTCATAAACAGAAACAAATTTTCCCATAAAAAATAGTGTAAATTGAATTAATCTGTTCCACACACTCCAAAAAATTAACAAAGTAAATTTTATACCTAATTCACCCAAATCTTTAGTACTAAAGTATGTACAAGATTTTACTTACCTTTATTGATGACTTTTGTTGGCCTATGGAAGATGGTGAGGAGGAGGAGAGGTGTTAGTGTTTGGAAGGGGAGTCCCCCTTCCATTATAACATCATGCAGTGAGGACTCCTCTGGGGTACACTCTGGCACATTTTGCCTGCATACTACTAGGACCTGCTTGTGGCTCACTGCTTGATTTTCTCACTAAAAATCGATCCATTGAGGATTGTTTTCCCTTCGTTGTAACACTTGTCAGTAGTAAAGTATCACATTGTCATTGAAAAGGTTAGTGCAACAGCCTTCGACAGCTTGCTCTGGGCGAGTCGTTTCAAGAAAAGTACTTTTGATATCGTTCGCCTTATACGTTTCTGTTCTCGTATTGGCATCCTTGGTGATATTTAGCGCCCTCTGATTATTCCGCACATTTGATGGTGCTACATAGCCTTCCCAGTTTGGTGCCTTCTTTTGATAATTACTTGCTTACTTCAACAAAAGTTTGCATTTCTTCCCACAGTCTACACCACTTCCTAATTGTTGAGGAAGGGACATTCTGTACTGCCTCCTCCTCCTCCCCTGAAGGCATTTCCTCGGCTGCTCCTTGTGAAGGGCCAGGGGTTCTTCGGTGGTCAGTTCTTCGCTGTGTTCCTCCACCAACTCCTCCACATCAGCACCATCCAACTCCAAGTTCAATTTCTGCCCCAGAGTAACAATTTCCTCAACAACAGGCACTTTAGGTTCAGGCTCAACCCCTCAAAGTCTAGTTCTGAAACACATTCTGACCACAATTTAAGGATTGAATCTTACCACTGACATTGAGACCCATGACGAGATATATAATAATAATTTTTATGTTCAAATACCCAAAAATCCAAAAAAACTGAGTCTTTACAAAGAATTCAGGCGCGATTGTCACGAGGCAGGAGGCACTGGTAAACTGATGCGCGGTCGCCGTATCGCCACGTGCTAGGTCAGCCATGTGTGTATCAACAAACTTCATTTTCCGAGGCAAAGTTCGTAACGCGATTCGGATTTTACGAAGAAATCGAACTCGTAACCCGAAAAGTTTGTAAAGGGAGGCATTCGTAAGCCGAGGTACCACTGTATTAGGCCTAGGAAGTTCAGGATAGGTTAGTTTAGTTTGTCAAAGCAACCCAAGCAAAAAATAGTTTTCTGGTTTGTCCAACTCAATACCTGCTTGATAGGGTTCTGGGAGTAGTTCTTCTCCCCAAGCCCGGCCCAAGGCCAGGCTTGACTTGAGAGTTTGGTCCACTAGGCTGTTGCTTGGTTGTAGTTCAGATTTTAGTTCAGTTCAGATTTCTACGTCAGTATACAGTATATACTATGATCATCATCGTTACTACCAAAACAGGAGGATGGGCTGTGAATTTCACAGCTGCCAAACTCAAGCACAGTTGGACTACAACACATTTTAAGTAAATAAATACATCTGTAACAATACACGATGTGACTGTTGCAATTCACATCTGGATTGAAAGGTGGATCTTGGTTCTAACAGTTCCTATATAGTTAATAGAAGTCCCAAGCATTGTGGATGAATATCATCTGACTGTACAGTATAGTGTTTAATGTGGACAAGAAGGATATGCGATATTGATATTTTACAGTTGTTGTGTATTTGCAGGTGGATTCATCAGTGTACAACAATCCAGACCTGGTGTGGCAACACCTTCCTCTGGTCAATGAGAAAATTGACAAACTTGTCCTGGAGTCATGAGAAACAGTCTCATGAGTTTTTAAGACAAATTCCCATTTGTGGGGCAGTCCACATATTTATGGTAGGTTGTCAAAGGAACCTTGCAGGCTATGTGAAAAGTAATTATAATAAGATTGAATCTGCAAAGGGGAGGTATACTTTCATCATAACTTAATAGACAAAGTAAAACGGTGTACAGAGAACCATTTCTGTACTGTCCTTGTTCATGGGCAAGGTGTCACTTTATGTAAAGCATGCCCAATAATTCTTATGAATTATTTGGCACATGTGAAACAAGAAAGAAAACATTTTCATGTATGCTAAATCTTCAGAAGACAAAGCTGTGTAGAAATTTTTGAACACTTGGTAATAGTGGCAATATAGGTGGTTTGATGTCATGTTTTCAGAGTAGCTTCATGATGTACATGCACAATTTTCTAAAAGCAGTCAGTGTTAGTACCCAAGATTTATTTTCCTATAGAAAAGAAGGGTTTCTGTCTGATCCTCCATCACACTTGTGTGTTCGTAGCTTGGCTTGAATTACAGGACATTTAACTTTCCATATTGCTGCAACAGTTCTTGATTTGCTCAGTGCTCTCACCGCTTTTCATTTTCCAAGTTTGTCTACTCTTGCATCCTCTCACTCAAAATGATCTGTAGTCATTCTTTAGTAGGCCTATTCACCTTGTTTTACTTTTTTGTTCTTTCATTTTATGTATTTTCCACTGTCCTCTGCCATTTGTTCCACACTGTGCAGTCTCAGTAGGGTTCCTCTGGTCATCTCTTTAGTTATTTCCTCTCCATTTGATCTCCCAACTTCATGGATTACACCTTTCTAATACCAAATATACTTTTGTCAGCTCTCAAATTTGGGTCACCTGCTCATAGGGAGACATCCATATAAATGTAGTGGTTTCCATACATGCACAAAGTCTAGGGCTCAGTAGTATTACAAATTAATGCACATGCCAAATGTAACTTTCATTCTGGCCCCTTGCCCTTAATTAAGGCACTTCTTGGTGTTACACCCCCCCCACTGTACTGTTTGGTTGCTTTTGCAAGTGCCGAAGTATAATTTATCATGTGTATGTCGTGTGTGTGCATGCGCTCTACATCCTTTTCCTGTATATTTAAAAAAAAATATTTTTGGTATTCATTTCCTTTTACAAATCTGCCTAGCAAATAGCATCACCTCTAATATATCAAAGCTGGTTATGTATCTCTCGTTAGTATGCTTTTCCTAGGCTATGTCATTCTGAGAATTATCAATGTCCTGCCATGTGACCTCCACAATCCCTTTAAGTGGTATTTTAAGTCCCCTTGCAACATACAACATTAAAATTCTCGACATGGTATAGAGATGTTTGTGCATTGCCATATTGGTGTAACATCTGGTTCATGTTTAACAAGAGTCAAATTGATGACTTGCCAATAAAGTCTTAACTTTTCCTGGTTTGGCCTTGATATAAAGCACTAATAAGTTGAGCAAGCTTCTTGATTAAAATATAATTTTATGTATTTGAAGACTCATACAATCTGGAAGGAATTGCAATGTCTTGCACAGGAAGTTTGTAGGCAAGTTATATTTTTTTGCTGCAGTTATGCATTATAAAGGAAACTGGGCTTCCTGTGTTTTTAAATATAAAAAGATTTAATTAACAAAATGAGGCATCAAGCTGGAAAGATATTCAAAAGGTCCTAAATATCACTGAAGATGCCAATACAAGAGCAAAAAGAGATGCGGCATCAAATTCACCAAGGATTCAATCTAGGAACGTTGGGAAAAGAAAACTTACAGAACTAAGTGGGAGGTCAAAATGCATAGACAAATGGTCTCATTGATACAGGATGGTATTTGAAGAAATGCACGATAACACTTCATTTGATAGCCCCCCTTAATATTCCATATGTGGCTTAAAAGGATGTTACTGCCAATACTGTTTTTCCTTAAAGACCATTAAATGTCCTTGGATACCAAACTAAGTAATACAAAAATTCAAATTAGGCACAAAATATGATTTATAGCACAACCTATTTTCTGTCATCTAAGGTGGTGCTGCCCTCCCTGTGGTGTAAACCAAGGAAGGAAATATTTACTCTGACCATTTTATGGTCAAGGCTAAACAGACAATTGCCAAAGAAAAATTTAGTTATAACATTTATTATTATTGGGGTTCATAAACTATCAATGCATTTGATACAAAAGTTTACAACAATTTTGTACAAAAATAGCAACATCTTGACCAATGTACTACTTTGCCATATACTTCCTAGGCACACAGTCACTGCCAATCTGAGATTCATAACAATGATGCATATTCATACCTAGAGTATCACTAAATAACTGTGCAGTTGGGTGGACCAGCCCCAAAGTCTCATGGCAACCTTTTAATTGTACAAAGGAACAGTCAGGTTCATCAGCAAAACAACATTACTAGCCAAAAGTAAAATTTTAAATATTTTTTTATGAAAATTTTAAAAAGTAAAAAAATTAATTATACCCAAAACCTTAAAGCAAGGCTTCAAACCGAGGAAAACAAACAATTGCAGGTTGTACATTTAAATACAGCAAAATAAAAAAAAATGGAAAAATATATATAAAAAAAAAAAAAAGCAAGCTGAAGTTAAGAGTACAGCCTAATTACAAATTTTAGATGTGTAAACTTAAATTTATCTTGTCACAAAGTCCTTTCAAACCTCATGTCCAGTCCTCAACTAGTGCATAAACTATCTTTCACAAATATGAAAATATTTAAGAAAATTGTCAGTTTTCTACATTTTTAGTACGGTAAATACAAATATGCAAATCTCTATCTTAAAACGTAATTCCTGAAATGCAGATCTTTACTAAATGGAAATACAGCAGACACCAGCCCAGATAGATATTCCTACAAACACCACAATCTTATATACAACAACTTAATGAACTGACATGAATACTGGTGGTACCAGTAATAAGTATAGTGTTAGCAAAATAACCAAGTGATCCTGTGAAATGTTCTTTGATGCTAATATTTTTTCTATTATCCTTGAAGCTTTTTAAGACTAATTTAACAATTTTAAAACTATCTGGCATATAATAAAGAAAACTAATTTCAATTCTGAAGTTCTATTTCAAAATAAAATTATGGTGACAGTAGTGCACATCTTAATATTTTTGCCCAAAACATAAGGTTAACAATGAGATTTAAGACACTCCATTCTTACTGAAAATGTTAAAATTATTATATAAGCCGCAATGCGAGTGAAATGCCAAATTTCAGTCATTTAACCAATTGTTATGACCTTCCTAGGAATAAAATGACACTTTAGTTGACTGATATTACAGTTTAGTTGACTATATGGTCAACTAGCAGTAATCCTGATGCACATTATAGTAAGATATATACAATGAAGTCCACAAGCTTTGTGCACACACAATACCCAAGGTCACTATATAATTTATAATCAGTATATGGAATGCTTTCTACCAATATTGGCAGTTTATTTAAGTACCAACAACCTGGCAATGTTATACTCTCACAACAGTCACCATCTTTGCAGCAATCACCATGAATGCTTCACCCACACAATGGCATCTCGCCAACTAGCAAGAACAGCACCCTGACTGTACAAGTCTAGTAAAAGGCTGCAGTACAAGAGCACAATTTCAAGTGCCATGTTAGCAACAGCTGAGCCAAAATGTGTTAAAAAAGGCAATGCCATTAACTACATGAAGGTTTAAATTACTTTACCCCAAACTGTACATTACACAAAAAAAATTTCCTTGAAAACAATCAATAATTTGTTAAATACCTCAAAACTCTCAATGACAAAGCTATGTTTATTCATTCACATCACCTACCTTCCTGAAGAGGGACTTTCAGCCTTCTCCCCAGTAGTGACTCGATACCTTTGCTAACCTGGCCTGGAAGAAAAACTAATATGGCACACTGTACCAAACAGTACACTATAAACTAAAAATATTTATCCTAAAGTAAAAAACAAAACAAAAACTTTAAAATTAGCAAACTACAAATTAAATCTTTACTAACAAGGTATCTTAGATAGCCTGTGCATAGAGATTCCAAATGGCTGTCTGGCTAATCTCCCTAGACTTGGCCATGCTGGGTTGGTTAGACTAGTGCTCAACACATTTACATTTAACAAGGTTCATCATATATTAACCAAAATAAACTATGAACTCCTAACAATAACAGCAGAAAAGTGAGATTCAGTTTAATAACCAATATGGACTAATTAAAAATTTAACTTCCCCCCCCCTTAAGATAAGCACAACAAAATAAGCATGCAATGTTAAATTGATTGATTGTATACTGTACTTGTAATTACATTGCCAAATGTACAAATTTGTACTGCTCAGAGTTAAAGTGTTTATCAATTTGTTGGCAGTTTGCTTGTCCTACAAAATATTGTAGAAGCCACTACTATTGGCCAATAGTTCACCAAAATAGAATATTTGATTACCTGTTTGATAGAAGTAACCCCAACCATATTAAATTTCCTGTATATTCAAAACATTACTGGTTGGTGTTCATTGCAAAAATGAAAATTTAATATTATTTACAACTAATGTACAAACCTTAATGTAAACTTCAGGGTCTTAGTTGAATATAATAATCACTGGCCAAGACATACCGAGTGTGGGAAATAAGGGGTACAAATATATTTTGATTTTAAAACAAAGATGAATTAGTAAACACCACAATCTTGCACAAGGGACCCAGCCCCATCCTTAACTAGCAAACCTAAAAATAGATGTGAACGAGGAGTGGGGGCGGGGGTGTTTGAGCACTGTAAAATAATAGAACAAAAAAATAATCACCACCAGGGGGAAAGTTTTGACTAATGTGTTTGGTAGTTCCTGTATTGTGATTATATTTGCAGCAAGCCATCTTGCCAAAACTATTGCTAAATAAGATCAGTTAAGATTCTTTACCTCAAAATTTTGAGGATTGAGACTTACACCTAAAAAATGTTAGAATTCTAAAGAGAATAGATTAAGAGAGATGGTATTTAGAACATATGCTGTGAAGCATCATGGTTGTCCAGTGGCAACTTGTCACCATATCTGGATTACTGTACTGGGATATCTGCATGTACATTTTGCAAACCTTCCTTCAGTTTCAGTTATCTAGTGGAAGATTTGCTGAAACTCAAAGAATCATGTGATTTTTTTCAGTTGTAAATATTTGATGATTCAAGTGCTACATCCTGAACCATCACACAATCCACTATGATTGTATCTTGCCCAAACCATGACAAGCAGTACCATAAAGGGCCACGTACATGGCGAACCAATAGGAACCTTCCTTGCCCCACACATTTGACTGGCAGTTATCCAGAACTCTGTATTACTAGCACAGACGGTGGGACTGTTGTGGCAGCAGTGGCCCATGCTTCCTTGAATGTGTTGGCATCCATCATGTTTTTGGTGCAAAAATAAGTAAGCTGGGCACCTCTAAGCAGGATGTCAGTCACCGCCTGTGTGGACAAGGAACAAAAGTAACTTCACATTGCTTTGTATTATACACATTTCTAAAGCATTAATTTACAAAATTGATTATGTTTTGAAGAATTTTTAAATTCTACAAATATAATTTGTTTATTGGAAGATTAGTTATGCATGGCAAGTGACAGTTTAATGTTATTAGAAACTGACTAAAACAAATATTGTACTCTAGTTAACAGCAGACAGAAGACATGACCATAACTTACTGAAAAGCCAAGTTGGTGAAACCTTATGAAAATACTGTACCATCAGAAGCATGAAATTAAAAAAGAAAACCTAATTATTGATCCCCTTTCATGGAGGAGGCATCAGACAAGAGAAGACAGCAGCACATAAAATAAGAAGACACATTAAAAATGTACACCTCTCCATTCACTGCACAGTACTAAAAACCACATGATTTACCATTGATGGGGTCAGGAAGCCTGTAAACTTATCGAGGCTTCCCTAGGCCAATTATTAGCCTCGCCTAGGAGGCAACTGTAGCACCTATACCGTATTGAGAATATGCTTGTTCCTTACTCTCATGTTCATGACATAAGGAGATGGGTCTGTTAATTCTACATAACCTATCAAAGTGTTCCATAATCCAAGAAGTTCTTCACTGATTCTTGGTCCACTAATTACAATTCCCAAGTGTACAACTAACTACAATTGATCTCTTCTCAACCTGCTAGATATTGGTCAGTTTGGCAAGGTGAGGAGAAGCTTGTAATACAAGCCCTCTTCAACAAATCATCAGTGTAAACTCATATAGTGGTTCAGTACAGACACTCTAGAGAGACTGCACATCTTCAACAACCATTGACATTCACCAGCAACATTGTAATACTCCTCTAGTCCAGTTCAATGTAACGTAGATTTATGTGTACATATTTGGGTGCAAGACTCAAGAGTACTGTATAGTATTTTTTTTATATTAATTTAGTATAGTAGTCTTTGTTACAGCAGTCGGTTTGTTGGTAATGTTGTGAAGTGTCACAGTAGTTGAGAGAGCCTGGAGCAGGGTAGAAAGCTTGAGTAAGGCAGGGAGTAGAGAGCTTTCATGCTGGGTGAGTGTTGAGCGTGAAGCTCTTAATGCAGGCGGGATCAAAGAGCTCTGAATGCGGGCAGGATCGAAGAGCTAGAATGCAGGACAAGAGCATGGAAGCTCGACGAGACCAGAATCTGGCTGGCTGTTCTGTAGCGAGGCTGAAATGTCTTGTGAGGGGAGTAGGAACTAGACTCGTCAAGTGTTACATTACTGCTAGTGAATGTCAATGGGGGAGGGGGGGGGGGGGTGAAGATGTGCAGTACTTGTATGTTAAGTGTCTGTACTGAACCACTAAGAGTTTAGACTGATTATGATTTGCTGAAGAGGGCTTATATTACAACCTCCTCATCTTGCCAAACTGACCCACTTTTATCATAGTAGAGAGAACCAGTATCTCTCTAGCAGGCTGGGAAGAGATTAATTGTAACGGCACTTTCCTGCACCGTGGGAAATTACACCCTTTCCAATTTTAATCCCTCCCTTTCCACCCAAGAAACAAATTAGAGATCAGCCCAAGCTTCATCTTTAGGCAAAGCTCAATGCCTTAAGCCATACTGATGCTCTCTCCACAGAACATTCTCTCTCTCAAATCATATACACGATGGTTCCCTACTCTGCCCCACGGGTGCAGTTGTCCTGACAATGGGTGATCGCTTATATTTTGAGTGGGGGAGTCCGTATAAACAACTGGGCCTCTACCCTTCAGACCGAACTATTTGCCTTGCTCTTTGCACTGAAATGTGTACAAGTCTCCAAACTTGATATATTAATTGTAAGTGACTATCATCCTTAAATGCTCTCAACTCTTCAAGACATAACTAACATGCTCGTGTCCGAAGCTAGACAAATACAACAAAATTATTAATGATGGTAACAGAGTCCATTTCATGTGGTCTCCATCTCATGTTGACCTCCGAATGCATGATAGAGCTGGTAAGTTAGCCAAAGAATCTGCCTCTAAAGGAGACGTTGAGTGTAACCATGGATTGTCAATGAGCAATCTGAGAGCAGCAGTACACCAAGAACTTCAACAAAATCTTGTAGATCTGAGGCAAAGTCAAATCGACACCAGTAATTCCATCTATCATTATACTATCATGCAAGAGGAGCCACACATCTATGGTTCATCCAATAAAATCAGCAGGCTTCTAGATGTTACTACTGCTCGGCTTAGACTCTGTTACAAGTATCTCTGGAAATTCTCATTATCTGCTGATGTAGACCTGACCAAATGTAAACTGTCAACAAAATTATTTGCACACCCTCCGTCACTATGTGATGGAGGTCACATAGTGACCACTATGTCACGTACTGATATATAAAGATTGAAAAAATTATTGTCTAGGTTATACATGTATGATGCAAATATGGATATAATAGGTCTGTGTGGATGTAATGGAGCTTACCTTGACCCATGAAAAAAATCCTATCACCATTTCATAGTACAAATGCAATTATCAAGAATGTTACTAGGGAAATGCAGTACTCATCATTTACCTGAAGTTACCCGAGGCCACTAATACTAATAGCCTCAATGAAGACAGGAAGCTGGTGGCTTATCAAAGGCCGCCCCCCCAATTTGCCCTGATCTTTTCTAGCTGTATTTTAAAACCCAGCAGTTTTTTGACATTTACAGCTTCAGCGGGTAGGCAGTTCCACGGGTTTACAACCCTTTGGGTGAAAAAGCAACTCCTGTCTTCTGTCGTACATTGTGTCTTGTTGAGCTTGAACCCATTGCTTCTTGTTCATGTTACATCTGACCTTTTGAAGAAACTGTCTGGATCAACACCGTCCAAATTGTTTATTATTTTAAAGGTTTCTATGATATCTGCCCTGTCATGCCTGGTCTGCAGTGTTGTTAGCCCTGTGACTCAGCCACTCCTGAAACGAGAAATGACTAGGCTCTGGTATGATTTTTGTTGCCCTGTGGTGCACCTTCTCCAGAGCATCCAAGTCTTTCTGAATATGAGGTCTCTATGCCTGGATGCCATAATCCAGGTGGGGGCACACCAGAGACATAATAATTGAGCGACTTCAGTACTTTATTTTCCTCGAAGGTAAAGGTACGCTTTATTATTCCCAGGGTTTGGTTGTTTTTTTTTTACTGCCGCTCCCACTTGTGCAACTTTTAGTGAACGTTGGATTCTGATTCCAAGGCCCTTTTCTTCATCAGTCTGTTGTAAGGTAGTGCTCTTTAATTTGGTAGTTGTGAAGTGAATAGTTATGCCCCACATAAGGTCTTGCATTTATTGACATTAAAAAGTACTTGCCAGTCATCTGACCATTTGTTGAGTTCACGTAGATCTTTTTGTAAGGTGTCAATATCACTCACTTCTCACTTTACCATAGATCTTAGTGTCATCTGCAAATTTGATGATGTGGTTTGTAATATTCTCATCTATGTCATTGATGTACATGACAAAGAGGGTTGGCCACAAAATGGACCCCTGTGACACCCCACTTAGCACATTTCCCCTAGTCAAAGTCATTCCCATTTAGCATGACCCTTTGATTTCTATGTTTTAACCATTGTTTTATCCATTCCAGTATTCTCCCATTTATTCCATGTGTCTGTAATTTCCTTGCCAGTCTCATGTGGTACCCTGTCAAAAGCTTTAACAAAGTCCATGCAAGTTACATCTACAGGAAATCCTTCGTCTGAATAGCCAGTTACCGTTTCCAGAAATGTGAGCAGGTTAGGGAGGCAGGATCCATTTTTAACAAACCCATGTTGCGTTGATTTTACAAGATTGCGAGATGTTGTATGATTTCCTCCCTTACGATTCTCTTTATGAGCTTGCAGATTTGTGATGTCAAACTGATCAGACTAGTTTTCTGC